TTTTAGACAAGTGCGAGTTTTAGACAGTGTGAAGTTCTATAAGACATAGTGCGAGGTTTTAGACATAGTGTGAGGTTTTAGACATAGTGCAGGTTTTACATAGTACGAAGTTCAGTATTATTGTTTAAATAAAAAAGCGCTTAAACCACAAGGCATACAGCGCACGAGTTCTTGAATGATTATTATTATTACAATCAAGGGAAGCGCTAACCCGAGGATTATACAGCGCACTGGGGGTATGTAAGGCATTCAGGCTATTGGAACTGGAGCACAGATCATTCCTAATCTAGAGCCCCTCACCAAATCAAGGAACCTTCCATGAGGGGGGTTCTAGAATAAAAAATATTTTGAAGAATATTCGACTACCATTAATGTCAATGTTATTATTGTTACAAATACTTCTGCTGCTCATACTATTATTACTGTTGTTGTTATTACTACTGCAACTACTTCTATTACGGCTACTACTACTACTGCTACTACTACTACTGCTACTACTACTGCTACTACTACTACTACTACTACTACTACTACTACTGACTACTACTGCTACTACTACTACTACTACTACTACTACTACTGCTAACTACTACTACTACTACTACTACTACTACTACGCTACTACTACTGCTACTACTACTACTTCTACTATACTGACTACTGCTACTACTACTGCTACTACTACTACACTACTATAATACGCGTACTACTACACTACTACTATTGCTACTACTCTACTACTACTACTACTATACTGTACTACTACTACTACTTACTACTACTCTACTACTACTACTACTACTATTACTAATAACTAATACCAATACTAATATATAGTCTATTTACAACCATACTATTGAATCGCTGCTTACGCTGTTTCATTGTTTACGTTTGATATAATATGTTACTAAACTACTTACCTACATAATAAGTCTTATATGTACTAATACTAACTTTGCTACTAATAATAATAAAATAATATATAATAATATTAATACCAATAATTAATATGATATAATTTTAAGCATTACTGTCATAAAGCTGATCATTGTCCGGGACACAGATTGTAAAACATTTTGCCAGCCATGAATCAAGTCTTTGGATGTACCAAAGCCGTGTATTTGGGCAGTGTTAAAGAAAGCAAATGTATATTCAGTAGGGTTACACCGGCGTCCGTAGTATAATATAATTATAACTGGACATTGCCCAGCAAAATTAGTTAGAACAGTGTGGGACCCCTGGAGGGCAGGCGATGAGCAGTGATGAGACGGGGTACCGGCCAAGCGGTGACGGCTTCAGAAGCTGATAAATTCCAGGAATATCAGTAACAATCTGTGACTGTGGCCTTGTCTTCCTCCCTCCCTCCTCCCGTCCCTTCGCAGTGTTCGTCGCAACTTGACTTGCGACGCCACGCCTGACGCACAACCTGACGTCGCCCTCAGCTCGACCTCACCTCCTCTCCTCCTCCGACCCTTCTGACGTTCCCTCAGTCTCGCCACCTCCTTCTTCCCCCGCCTCTCCCGTAACCATCCCGACCTCCAAATCTCAACCTGCATCTCTCCCGGAGCCTCAACTGCGACAGGAGACGACGATGCCGATAAGGACGCCACTCTCGCCGCCGTCGCTGTGGCAGCCGCTGCCGCCCGCGCCTACAGCAGCAGCAGAAGTGACGAGGAGGAGGCGGCCCGGTCTGGTAAACGCTCTAAGGTGGGTCGTCAGGATCTGTCTGAGGCAGAATGTTTTGTTCGTGTTGAGTCCTGAGGCTGCTGAGTCGGCCACACACGTCCACTAATATCCAAACACTCCATTCAGCATGTTTGGATTTGACATCACACACACACGTTTGCAGTGACCTTCGCATTACTCAGACATTTTTTTGCAGCAGGGAAGGCCTTGACAGGCCCACACACACACACACACACACACACACACACACACACACACACACACACACACACACACACACACACACACACACGTTTTCTCACATAAACTGAGCAACAACCAGTGATGACCGGCTCATCAAACGGCTTATATATTTACAAATTTAACAACAGTAGCATCTATTAATAAGAATAACGAATATTTAGTGTTATTATTCTATATTTCTGACAGACGGGGGTGAGTCTGCCTGGGAGAATAAAGTATCTATATTTCTAATGCATATACAATTTTTTTTCTGCAGTATACAGGTACTGTAGTTTACACGTAATAAAATATTGTTAGGCACAATAAAAGCCATTAACATGCAGTGCATTTCGTGGGTTAGTGGACGGAGGACTGAGCCTCCACTACCTCATGAGTTGAATGAAGCTTCAGATAATAAAATAATTTGATAAAGCTTGTCCTGAGGGAGGCGTTGTTGGCAATGATGTTCTTTCATATGTTTTACCTGTGACTGGTGTCGAGGGTTCTGCCTGATGCCAGCCTGGTCAATCAGGCTGGCTGTGTTAGCTGCCTGCAGCGGCACTTGTGACAGGATGCTGTTCACCTTCAAAACTTCAGTCTTTCTTCCGGTAATATACTGAAGAGTCTTGGGCTCCGCATGTTGACGCAGTGTTATTTAACTGTAAAAGATTCTCTCACTGCAGTAAGTTATTATTCTGTCAAGTAGTGACACCTCTTAACGACATCAGGGAGTCCTTGATGCCGAAGAGGGCTCTTGATCCAAGAAATTGGACTCACCCTCCCTTTCCTTGGACTAAAACTGCCTCCCAGTCCTCCCAGTGGCTGTATCACCTTACAAGTTTAGCGCTCCCCCTCCCCCTACACAAAAGTTGTCATAATGTTAATAGTTTCCTAGTTAACCAAGTTACTACGTCGTTACACATGTTTGATCTTTCTCGTTGTGAACTCAGTTTGACCATCGAGATTCTCTTGTACAGAAGCACTAAACCCTCATGGGTTATTTAGAAGTGATGGACGTTCGGTCCTCCATCCACTAATCTTGACCATGTCAAGATTAGCTCATAGTGATCACCTTGACTAAATATTATTACTACTACTATTATTATTATTATTATTATTATTATATTTTATTATTATTATTATTATTATTAATGGTACACAGTACCGACAAGTTGAGTGAGACACAGGTACCTCACCTAGGTACCTTTACTGTTGAAAATATAGATACTTGAGAGTTGCACATATGTGTTTTACTCATCCGGCAGCTAGAGCCAGGGGTGGTGGAGGCACAGTCCTGAAGCACAGTCCTGAAGCACAGTCCTGAAGCAGAGTCCTGAAGCACAGTCCTGATGCACAGTCCTGAAGCACAGTCCTGAAGCACAGTCCTGATGCACAGTCCTGATGCACAGTCCTGAAGCACAGTCCTGATGCACAGTCCTGAAGCACAGTCCTGAAGCACAGTCCTGAAGCACAGTCCTGATGCACAGTCCTGAAGCACAGTCCTGAAGCACAGTCCTGAAGCACAGTCCTGATGCACAGTCCTGAAGCACAGTCCTGAAGCACAGTCCTGAAGCACAGTCCTGAAGCACAGTCCTGAAGCACAGGACTCAATCTATATAGATTGAGTCCTGTGCTTCAGGGGAATGGCAACTCACTAGACGGGCGACAATTTACGTGATATTAGGCTTCCACCAATGATGTGAACTGAATGCACGATCGTTACAGTAGTATAGTTGATTCAGATCATGTGGTCGTATGAGGGAAGCACAGTAGTAACATTTAACCAAGGAGATTTAGATATATCAAGAGGTAAACAGATTTTTTAAAGTGTCTTCAGGTCTTTTTTTTTTTTTAGAGGATATTCAGGTCTTTTATCAGGTCTTCAGTTTTTTTTTAGTGGTTATTAAGGTCTTTTAGCGGGTCTTCACTGTTTAAAACCGTTATCAGAGTTTTAAATTCGTCTTCAGGTTTCTAAGCGGGAATTCACGTCTTCTGAGAAGTCCTCAATTCTTTCGAAAGGTCTTCAAGTTTCTTAAGTATTTTTTTTAGGTTTTTTTATAGTGCAGATTTATAGCAAAGTGCCTCTATAATAGAGTCTACACGAATCTTTAAAAAAAATTATCTGTTGCTCGGAATAAATTTTTGTTTGTGTCTCACAGATCGATCGGTCGTTCGCCGATCCTCTCGACCCAGCCGCTGGCGTGAGCTTCGACGAAGACGACGAGGAGGAGGAAGAGGATGACGACGACTTTGGCAAAGACGACCTGTTGGACGACGATGACAGTGACAGCAACCATTCCAGCCCTCCGACCCTCCTGGAGCGGTTCCGTTCGAAGGCGCAGAAGGAGCCCCTAAATATGGGAGCGTCGACCTCCGCCTCCCTGGCCTCCTTCAGCATCGCCTCCATAATGGGCGGCGCAGATTAACTCTTCCACTCCCTGTAGTGTGTAATATCTTGTGTACAATAATCTCTGGAGAAGTGAAAGTCCCGTTTCCGAATTGTTGCAGGTAGAATTGTAAATATATAGTGTTGATTACACCTCACTGAGTGGTATATAGTCTCTGAGTGATCCCTAAGCGATCTCTGAATGTTATTGTAAGCAGAGTTAAAGTGATTTGATACTGCGAATGATTTTAATTAGTCCTGCGAATGATTTTAATTAGTCTTGATGTTTAGTGATTCTGAGTGAACGTTAGGGACCTTTGTGTGGTTCCTGGTGACTTTGAACGATCCCTCGTAACATCGAGTCGTCCCTGGTGACTCCGGGTGCTTATGAAGGACTGATCGATGCTTCAGGTAATCCAGAACAACTTCCCAGAAATATAATTTTAAGACGGAGCCGAAAACTTTAGAAGTGGAATCGACGCTCAGGCCAAGCAAAGTCGTGAATCTGCTTCTCCTTCCCTGGAGTTGGTGATGCTGGCGCGGGGATCTTCAGTCGTGAGAGAGAGAGGGAGAGAGAGAGAGAGAGAGAGAGAGAGAGAGAGAGGAGAGAGAGAGAGAGAGAGAGAGAGAGAGAGAGAAAGACAAATTCTGCTGCAATCATCTAGTCACGTGACGCAGGGGCGGCTCTCAGGAGACGTAGAATCGAAGCCGCCGCCGCCGCCACCTCCGCCGCCACCAGCGTTGATGGCGATTAGTCTAGTGAGCGTATTTAGCAAACTTATTTTTTTTGCGCACTTCGGGTTTGTCCCATATTTTGTAAGAATACGTACAATGGTAAACTCTTAAATAAAAGGGATAAAAAGTGAATCGAGAGCGGAATAGACCAATATTGCTGGCGCTGGTTACCCAAAGCACCATTAACTCCCCCCTTCTTGTTTTATTTACCTCTCATTCCCTTTTCCCCCTATGTCTTTTTTTTTTCTTCCCCACTTTCTATCCCTCCATCTTCCGCCATTCTTTCTACTCTTCTGGTCCCCGTACAAGGAGATACTGCCAGCAGCAGCTGACTCAAGGAACGCCATAGGCCACCTGCCTCACACATCACTACGACACATTGATGCACTACGTCACTGTGGTATATCGGTGCAAACAAACTTAACAATAAATATAAGGATATACAAAAGACGTGCAGGATTCGAACGTGGTCTGCAAGATGTGCCGGCCCTCACGTTGGCACTTGCACTCTACAGGACATCCCGTTAGTCTGGACCACAGAGAAAAAGCAGGAAAAAGGGCACTCATCAAGTAAAATTGCCGACAAAATGTTAGGTAAAAGGACACAAATGCAACTGATGCGACATTTTATCGTGCCAACGTTTCGCTCTCCAGGAGCTTGACAAAGCTCCGGATACAGCGTGTTCTATGTGTCCATCTTTATTCATAATAGACAAATGCAGACGAGATGCGTTCTCCCTTACCCCGGAAGACATCATGGGAACCTGCAAAAAAAGTGAACTTTTTATTAGTCTATCATGATTCTCGAAATCATAACAACACGACTGCAAACAAACAGGGAACGGGTGGGGTTTGTACCCTACCCTACGGGATGGTTACGAGTGAAGATTCAGTCCACCCCAGCATTGTTAATATTTATCATACCAAAGACATCAGTCCCGAGTGAAGCCTGTCTTGTTTGCTCAAGTGTTGGTGCTGGTGCCCCAGTGTTTTATGGAACCTTCACTGGAACCCTATGTTCATGGCTGCTATAGTGAGGCCTAGTTTCAAGTTTTATCTATCTTAGAGACCGAACCACTGAATAGGCCTAATCTTCATTATTGCTAGCCTAAAGGCTTATCTACTGGATAGGCCTAGTCTTCATTGTTGCTAGCCTGGAGGTAGGCCCACTGGATAAACTCAGGCTCCACCTTACATGTCTGAGACTGACCCATTGGATAACTTCATATTTCAGTCTTAGACCCACCTGGAGACTGACCCATTGCATAGGCTTGGTTTCAGTCTTACCAGCGAGAGAGCCTCACTTCCTGGGTAGTGTCTACTGGCGGAGGTGTTGTTCTTCAATCGTGAATTCGCGAACGTCAACACATGCTGAAGAACGCGCCATCGAAGTTGTGAGTTGAACCTTATCTCCTTGGTGAAGACATTGTCAAGATACCGACAGTTGATGAGGATACACAGATAACCCGCACGGTATTGTGCCTTTTTTTTTTTGTTATTTAGTTGATGAGGACGCAAAACCAGTGAAATCCTTCATTTGTACAACGTTTCGCTCTGTGCATTATATAAAACAATATCTCCGCTGCTCTAGTATCTTTTATCCCCTTTGGCACCCTGGGTCCAACTACGTATGCGCTGTGTGTGTGTGTGTGTGATGTTGAAGGAAGGAAATGCACTGTTGACAGCTGCGCATGGCAGCATGATGGAGTTAGCTGAATGTATAGGTGCTTCCTGCAGACGCTGCGAGACTTTTGGAAAGCACTGGAATGGGTAGGACGATGTCTTGGAGGTCCGTCAGCGTGTACACAAGACTGACTCAGCGTATGTAGCTGCTGCCATCTTTCGGTGGCGTGTACGTCAATACCTCAGTTTAATTTATTGTTGTTGTTTTAGGTTCAACACAATATGTATAAAAGAAATATGTTGAGCCTCTCGTTAAGTTGTGGCATTCTTATCCCTGTGTGTGTGTGTGTGTGTGTGTGTGTGTGTGTGTGTGTGTGTGTGTGTGTGTGTGTGTGTGTGTGTGTGTGTGGGTGCAGGAGGGCGCTCCTTGGTTTGTCGAAGTCTCTTTGTCGGACCATAAGAGGAGTCGAGCGTCACCTGGTCGACGGCAGTCCTGTCACACCACTCGACAGGGGTATCCGTGTCGGCATGCCTCGCCTGCATATATTCTTTTCCGATACAGAGGACGGTGTATCGAACACCTTGGGGGGAGGGAGAGGGGGTAGCAGGGGGGGTCAAGATCATTAGGAGTGAGTAGAAAGAGATTTAGAGCACCAGATCATCTCTCACTCTCTTTCTCTCTCTCTCTCTCCTCTCTCTCTTCTCTTAGCAGAATCCATGACCATTTAAAACTGTTGAGATGTTTGTAAGTAAAAAAGACATGTGTTTTATTATTTGTTAATGATTTTTGAGTTTTGTATAATGTGATATGTGTCGTTGTTACCCAGTGTATCCTCCCTCCCTCCCACTCTCCCTCCCTCCCAATCTCCCTCCCTCCCTCTCTCCCTCCCTCCCTCCCTTCTGTCCTTCCTCCCTCCCTCCTTTCCTCCCCCCTTCCCTTTCTCCCCTGCTTCCTTTCCTCCTTCCCTTCCTCCCTCCCTCCCTCTTCCCTCCCTCTCTCCTTCCCTTCTTCCCTCCTTCTCTCAACCCCTACCCTCCCTAAAACGTTTCTCCCTCTATGAAGATTTCATTCACACACACACACACACACACACACACACACACACCACACACACACACACACACACACACACACACACACACAACACACACACACACACACCACATACAAATACTACACAACACAAAAATAACACACACACACACACACATACACACACAAATACACACACACACACACACACAACACACACACACACACACACACACACACACACACACACACACACACACACCACACATACACATACACACACAACACACACACACACACACACACACACACACACACACACAACACACACACACACACACACATACACACACAAGCACACACACACTCAAACGTAAGTACACGATACCAAATTACCTGAGCGATTTCGTGTTTCTCCAAGCACATCTTCAGAGAATTAATTCCTTTCAAGGCGGTGCGAAAATGCCAAGGAATTTTTCCTTCCTTTCTTTTCACCATGTAACTGTGTTTGGTATTTATCGTCACACGTACAAAGTGTACGTACACAAGAATGCATTTCCAGAGATACACGAACACGCACGTACAGTGCCGAGAACCGTGATTCGAACCCCCCTCCTTCCTCAGAGACAACTGGGTTAGTACACGCTCCTGAGCCAGCCGGGGGACACTTAGGGTAGGGGGCATTTCTCCCCTCCCCCTTTCCTTCCCCTTTCCCCTCCCTCCCCCTCCCTCCCTCCCTCCCCCCCCCTCCCTCCCTCCCCCTCTATACCCTTAGTCTCCCTTCCTAATCCCCTACTTCCTTCCCTCCCCCTGCCCCTTCCCCTCCCCTCCCCCCTCCCCAAATGTATCGATTTACTCCAATAAAACTGAATATTTTTCTGCGTTTTTTATTACTCGTTAATAAATTTTTTTTTACCAAAACCATAAACTCATTTATTATTATTAATATTATTATTATTATCATTAATATTATTATTATCATTAATATTATTATTATTATTATTATTATTATTATTATTATTATTATTATTATTATTATTATTATTATTACTATTATTATTATTATTATTATTATTATTATTACTATTATTATTATTATTTATTATTATTATTATTATTATTATTATTATTATTATTATTATTATTATTATTATTATTATTATTATAAAGAGGCAATAAAGTTAGAGGCGAGAGATCGGTCATTAAAACCAATTTTATTAAGTTTTATTGAATTGATCTTAATTAACACATTGTACAAAATAAGTAAAATAAAAAAAAATCCCTCTAAATCTGGAGTTAATTTTTTCTTTTAGGGAGAAAATTTATTCCCTTTAAACTTAAAATTAATACTCATCAAAAAAATTTTCTTCTGGTCACGAAGAAATATGGGAAATTCTGAAGAAATTCTGCCAGTGTGTGTAGCCAATCAGGGAAGGAATTGGTGGTCATCACCAGCCAATCAGGGAAGGAATTGGTGGTCATCACCAGCCAATCAGGGAAGGAATTGGTGGTCATCACCAGCCAATCAGGGAAGGAATTGATGGTCATCACCAGCCAATCAGGGAAGGAATTGATGGTCATCACCAGCCAATCAGGGAAGGAATTGGTGGTCATCACCAGCCAATCAGGGAAGGAATTGATGGTCAAACACCAGCCAATCAGGGAAGGAATTGATGACATCACCAGCCAATCAGGAAGGAATTGATGGTCATCACCAGCCAATCAGGGAAGGAATTGATGGTCATCACCAGCCAATCAGGGAAGGAATTGATGGTCATCACCAGCCAATCAGGGAAGGAATTGATGGTCATCACCAGCCAATCAGGGAAGGAATTGATGGTCATCACCAGCCAATCAGGGAAGGAATTGATGATCATCACCAGCCAATCAGGGAAGGAATTAAGGATCACCAGCCATCAAAGAAGGAACTGATGACCATCACCAGCCAATCAGAGATGAAATTGAAGATCATCACCAGCCAATCAGAGATGAAATTGAGGATCATCACAAGCCAATCAGAGATGGAACTGACTATCATCACCAGCCAGTCAGGGAAGGAATTGATGATCATCACCAGCCAATCAGAGAAGGGATTGATAATCATCACCAGCCAATCAGGGAAGGCATTGAGTATCATCACCAGTTAATCAGAGAAAGAATTGATGATCATCACAAGCAAATCAGGGAGGGAATTGAGGATCACCAGTCAATCAGAGAAGGAACTGATGACCATCACCAGGAAATCAGAGATAAAATTGATGAACATCACAAGCCAATCAAAGATGGCACTGAGGATCATCACCAGCCAATCAGAGATGGAACTGAAGATCGCCACCAGTCAGTCAGAGAAGGAAATGAGGATCATTACCAGCAAATCAGAGAAAGAATTGATGATCATCACTAGCAAATCAGGCAGGGAATTGAGGATCACCAGCCAATCAAAGAAGGAACTGATCACCATCACCAGCCAATCAGAGAAGGAATTAAGGATCATCACCAGCCAATCAGAGATGGAACTGAGGGTCATCACAAGTCAATCAGAGATGGAACTGAGGATCATCACCAGCCAATCAGAGATGGAACTGAGGATCTTCACCAGCCAATCAGAGAAGGAACTGAGGATCATCACCAGCCAATCAGAGAAGGAACTGAGGATCATCACCAGCCAATCAGAGAAGGAACTGAGGATCATCACCCGCCATCAGAGAAGGAACTGAGGATCATCACCAGCCAATCAGAGAAGGAACTGAGGATCATCACCAGCCAATCAGAGAAGGAACTGAGGATCATCACCAGCCAATCAGAGAAGGAACTGAGAATCATCACCAGCCAATCAGACAAGGAACTGAGGATCATCACCAGCCAATCAGAGAGCTGATCTCATAGCCTCAAGTGACCAATAGCACAGAGGCAGGACTCGTGTTTTTTTTCCCCCAGTGTTTTTCCTGAGGGAAAAAATCAGGTAAAAAAAAAAAGATTTTTGAAAATGTTTGAGTTTGTGACCTGAAGAAAAACTTGTGTTAAGAAAACGAGTGTTTTTAGCATGAGAGAGAGAGAGAGAGAGAGAGAGAGAGAGAGAGAGAGAGAGAGAGAGAGAGAGAGAGAGAGAGAAAGAGAGAGAGAGAGAAGAGAGAGAGAGAGAGAGAGAGAGAGAGAGAGACGTAAAGTAATGTAGGTCAAATTTTATTGACTCTCAAGAATAAAAGTGATATGATTTTTTTTACGTTTGTTATTGTCATAAATGTTCGATTATTTCTCCATTCTTCCCCTCGTTTATCCGTCTATCCTCCCCTTACCTATCCCTCTATCCTCCCCCTTCCCTATCCCTCTATCCCCCCCTTTCCTATACTACCATCCTCCTCCTTCCCTCTATCCTCCCCCTTCCCTATCCCACTATCCTCCCCCTTCCCTATCCCTCTATCCCCCTTCCCTATCCCTCCATCCCCCCCCTCTCATCCTTCCATCCTCCCCCTCCTCCATTCTCCTCTTCTTATCCTTAAATCCTACCCACCTCTTCCCTCCTTCCCCTCCCATCCTCCTCTCCCTCCCTCAGGAGGAAGACTCTGACCTTGAGATATATATATATATATAATATATATATATATATATATATATATATATATATATATATATATATATATATATATATATATATATATATATATATATATATATATATATATATATATATAGGTAGTAGGTTGGTAGACAGCAACCGCCCAGGGAGGTACTACCGTCCTGCCAAGTGAGTGTAAAACGAAAGCCTGTAATTGTTTTACATGATGGTAGGATTGCTGGTGTCCTTTTTTTCTGTCTCATAAACATGCAAGATTTCAGGTATGTCTTGCTACTTCTACTTAAACTTAGGTCACACTACACCATACATGTACAAGCATATATATGTATGTATATATACACATCCCTCTGGGTTTTCTTCTATTTTCTTTCTAGTTCTTGTTGTTGTTTATTTCCTCTTATCTCCATGGGGAAGTGGAACAGAATTCTTCCTCCGTAAGCCATGCGTGTTGTAAGAGGCGACTAAATGCCAGGAGCAAGGGGCTAGTAACCCTTCTCCCGTATAAATTACTAAATTTAAAAAGAGAAACTTTCGTTTTTCTTTTTGGGCCACCCTGCCTTGGTGGGATACGGCCGGTTTGTTGAAAAAAAAAAAAATATATATATATATATATATATATATATATATATATATTTATATTGTATGTGTGTGTGTGTGTGTGTGTGTGTGTGTGTGTGTGTGTGTGTGTGTGTGTGTGTGTGTGTACCCAGAATATGACTGTGAGAAGAATACATAAATTTCTAAATATATTCAGCTTCCACCAACTCGCATCAAAACTCCCTTGCAACATGTTAGGTGTTGCAACCTGTGTTGACTCTTCTTGAGGAGTGTCAGTAACCTCACCATCCAGAGACGCTACTCCTCTTTCATATTTTTCTCTTATTATGGTCTGAGAAACTTCCTTCTTCATAAGTGGAAATTCTATGTAATGTTTCTTTTGGTTCGGGATAAAATTGTTATGAAATTAGTGACGTGAGATTTTTAACGAGTGACGCTTGGGACTGACCACCTGATATGACTGTCAAGCTGAAGTCAGCTATGAGGTGACCGAGTGTGTAGTTACCATTTGTCAAAGGCACTTGTCGATAAGACACTTGGTCTGTTGAGTGTGTACTGTGTGTGTGTGTGTGTGTGTGTGTGTGTGTGTGTGTGTGTGTGTGTGTGTGTGTGAGCAGCGGCGGTGTTTTGATCCCCACCACTGGTGGTGCCTTGGTGCTGGTGAGGGTTTTTGATCCAAG